GGCGAGGAGACCGGGGGCTGGGGTGGGCGCCGCGGCCGCCCCCTTGCTCCCCTGGGGCCCATCGCTGCCTTCACGTTGGGTGAGTTAATGGCACAGAGTTCGGGAATGAAGTTGCTTCTCTGGGGAAGCCGCAGGGCCTCTGTGGAAGGGATGAAGCTGTCCCTGTGCAGAGGGGCGCTATCTGGCTTGCCCCCCCACTCTCAGTCCCTCTTTGTTTATTGGCTGCGGCTCCCAGATGTTTAGGGTGCCTTGAGGAGGAGAGCAGCGCCAGAGCTGAGGCTGATGCCCCCCAGCCCTGGAGGATCTATAGCCCCGAGTAGCCTCGGGGGGAAACTGAGGTCTGGACACTTGCCTAAAGTTTTTCGAGGACCTTCCCACATGGTTCTCCACCCCCAGTTTCCCTACCCCCAGGCCAGTGTTGCAAAACCAAAGTCCTTCTCTTCCAGAACTTGGTACTTACTCATTTTACAAGCTGTACATCGAACCAGGATGTCTTAATTGGTACAGAAATATGTACAGATCACATGTTTTCAAAGTAGCAGAGGAATAAAAATGCCTTTTAATTTGTCAAATAAGTTTTTCTCCCCAGTACTCCTACAAGGTGGGCAGCGAGGTGTTCTTCTGGCCACCTTCTGGATGGGGACAGTGAGGCAGGGTGGCGAGGCCTGCATGGTTTCCTGAGTGGTGATAGGTGGCCTGAAGGTGGAGCTGCAGGGGTTAGGGGTTCAGCCCTGGCAACAGCCATTGCCAGCCCCTCTGAAGGAAACTCATCAGTATCTTCGTTTTTCCCTTGGCATTGCATGACCGCAGTGAGCTGGCTTGCGGGGAAGCATGTGGGGTTACTTCACCCAGGGTAGCGTGTGGGGGTCAGTGTGGCAGCTTTGCCCACGGAGGATCCCAGGCGGCCTTGCTTTACTTTGCTGACTAGAGCTGTCAGGCCTGGGTCGCTGTTTGGAGCAGCGTGGCCGCTGTTGCGGAGGGGGTTTGCTGGCCCTCCCATCCCGCTGGCCGCTGCCCCTGGCCAGGAGAGATGAGGCATCCAGAGAGGTGCCTGGTAGAGATGGCTCAGCCCTGCATCTGGAAAGGGCAGCCTGTGGGGGGAGGGGGGGGGAGAGCAGCCGGGAGGCTTTCCCAGCTTCTGAAGAAAGAACAGGAAGAAGCCAAAAGTTAACCAGTTGGGCTCTGGGTGCCCCAGGCCATTTGAACCTGCTCTGGGGGAGCATCCCTGTGGGTGCTGGGCTGTGATTACATTGTAGCTGGGCTCAAAGTTGCTATGCTAGGGTGGGGCCTGGAAAGAGGAAGGACATGGGGGGGGGGTTCTGGAACACCTGCGTGTGTGCCTCACCTGGAGGGGGCAGCTTCAGCCCGGCTTCAGCTAGAGACCGCCTTGATGGAGCGGATATCCTTATCTTTCAGGGGAACTAGGGGAATTCTCAAGCTTGGATGGATAAACAGGGACTCAGATGCTAGAAGACTAGTAGAGGGTTAGGGCCCCGCTGGGGAGGCTGGAGCTTGAAATCTGGGTTTCTGCTTCCGCATCAGGAAAGGGGTCTCACAGTCAGAGGCAGTGACATGTGAGAGCACTGGGGCTCATAATCCCTGTGGGACCCAGGGGTGGGGCTCCCCCACTTGCAACTGTGTTGTACTTTCACTTGCAACTGTGTTGTACTTTCATAGGTGGCTGTTTCATGAAGCCCCATCATGGGAAAAATGAGACTCTGTGTGTAACTTGTGTCATTTCATTACCAACTAGATGCTACAGTTGAACCTTTGGGACCCACAGAAGAAGACAGATGGGTTCTGCCTGTAGGAGGGGAGCAGAAAGGCCACCCCGGGGCAGAGGAAGATGGGCTGTGTTAAGGGCTGGGAAGGACACCCAGGCCCGCCGAGGCTGGCGAGGAGTCGCTTACGAGGCAGCCAGAGCCTCCTTTTACTAATCTGGAAGTTGAGGCACGGCACAGTGGGTGACAGGCCCAAGGTCACATGGAAATTCAGCCCATGGAAATTCAGCCCAGCCTCTGATCTGCAGTTCCGGGGCGTGCTCTGTCACCCCCAGGCTGGGCTGGGGCTCCCATGTGAGTGGGCGCGTGCGGTGGTCAGCAGCTCTCAGACCCGACATGTCCTCACGGCAGTGTCGCTCTGCTCCCCTTTATAGGGAAGAAGGGCACCTTCAAATTGGAAGGCAGAGGAACTCACAGAGCTGCCACCGAGCGCAGTGCATCTGGGCCGTCACGCAGGGCGCCTCTGGCCCGTGGTTCCGGGGTGTTTGCGGCTGAGCAGCGCCCAGCCCGTCCTCTGTCTCTGGTCTGCGGTGGGGGCGCTCAGCGGGGTTTCGACACGCTACAGCGGGCGCTGTGGGTCCGGAGGTGGCGCCGCTTAGCCGCCCGGGAGATACAGCGGGCGCTGTGGGTCCGGAGGTGTGTTTGGCCTCGCGGCTGTATCCCTTCCTGGCTCTCAGGTGTGCGGGCCTGACTGCCTCCCTGGGAGCGCCTCCTTTAAGAGAAAGCCCGAGACAAGATGATTGGTGTGCAGCCTGGGTTTCACAGCGTGAGCCGGAGCACAGAGACAGCGGTTATCCATTACGAGTATCCAGTTTAGAGCTCCGGAGAGGAGGGCTTGCTTCCGTGTCGATTTGGGCCAGTGCAGAATTTTTAAAGTACGGGGGTTGGAGGAAGCCGCGTGACCATCACGACAGCTGCCATTTGCTGGGTCCCCTCTGGCTCCGCTGGCCTCTGAGGGCAGGTCAGGCAGGCGTCCCTCTTGTCCAGCGAGGGCTGAGTGCGGCCTGAGTGCACAGGCCCTCCCTGCACTGGAGGGAGCCTGTAGGAATGAGCTGAGCGAGGAGGGCGGAGGGAAAGAGGTGGGGTGGGGGCTGAGAATAACAATTGCGGCTCCGGAAGGGGAAGGCGGTGGCGTGAATCAGCAAGTGGTAAGTTGGGGGGAGGTAGAGCTGGAAAGCAGGTTGTCACTGAATTCGAAAGGGATGTGGAGGAACTGCACAGCAGCGCTGAGCTCCTGGCTCCCAGGTGCAGCGGGCCAGGTGCAGGGGGCAGGCGGCCCGCGGGAGCAGTGGGCGCGCAGAGCTTGCACAAATCAGTTACATAAGGCTGACGGTGGGGGGGGCGCGGTGCAGGGTGCCCTGCCTGGCCTGAGAGCCACCTGCCCGGCACCCCAGCAGTGTCTGACCTGCAGTAAGCGCTCAGCAAGCGCTGACTTCTGTGGTTATTCTTGAACGCTGGAGCGCAGACCCAGAGTGTGGGATGTCTCAGAACTCCCTGGGCCTACTTATAATCTCTTAGGTAGATATGTATGTATCTTGGGGGGGCCACTTCTGGCATATTCTGCCCCAAAGGGCTTCTCTCAAGCTCCAGAAA